TAATTGTCAATTTAGATAAATGTTTTTTAAGAAACTAGTTCAGATAAAAAGAAACAATCCCACCTGTAAATACATATTGTGGGATATACTTTAAGTTTCAAATGTTATTTTATTATTAACCAGTGATTTGCTTTAATAAATTTACCATGTAAATTATGCCAAAAACACAATTGACATTGTAACTAGTATTTATTGTTTATTCGAAACAATTGCATTCCTTGAAATACAAATGTTTATATTGTGTTGATTTATGATAAAGAAATGAGCGTTTTATTTATATACAAAACTGGTATTTAGTTATTGTTTTTTTTTGTTTTCAGAAAGGAGTTTTATGGAGATTGTAGTAATTTAATAGTTGAATTTATGAGTTGATTAAAGCTAGACCATCATGAAAAACCTGGAAGCACTGGACGACCATTTAGTCCTAGTATTAGGGTTATTGTTAACCAAATAGTAGAATATGATTTTAAAATAATAGCATGATACAAATGAGATAATTTCATTGATTATGCCCACTTATTTAGTAATGTATATGTGTTATGTGATTTTAAATGATTAAATTGTTTTCAATGCTATCTTCTTCGGTCTAGGCACTCGGGCAGTATCACAGCCCATACACAAATCAAGTGACTTATATGGCGCATATATATTCGGTGCCTCTTTGTACCAATATTTATGTGTTCAAATAAATATACGTCAGATTATTGACATATAATTAATTTTACTTATTTAATGAAGCCATTATATGGATTATAATACACAGACTATTACTTCAAAATAATATATTCCAGACTGTGAGAACTGAATTGTCAGGCGCCAAAGGGACGTGAAAAAAATCTATTCCCGATGGTTTTCAAATTATTAAAGATTGAATGAAGGTATTTATTAATAAAAGAAACTTTTTATAAATGATGATAAAAATTAATTTGTAGTGAGGAGGAATGTAGCATATTTAAAAAAAGTGTTAAAGGTCATAAATTATTTGATTGTTTGACTGACTGATGAAATGCCTGAGAAAATCTGCAGTAGTAAATTCATCAGTAATATACTGCAGTCATATCTATATACATAACTGAATATATTGGACTAGATAGCCAGGCGAAACATTGGATTTACTTCAAATTCTTTCGTTGAGATTTTACAAATACATTCTTCCTTTCTAATGAATCAATCACTATCAGTTTAGAATGATTAGTTAGTTATAAGTAGGCAAAATATCTTCATTTGTAGTCTTATCGAATGAATATTACATGTTTTGGATTATTTTTACATGATAGTGTTTCAATTAAGTTGTTTGTCATTACAAAGTGAAAATGGGTTCACACGTAAATCATACATAATATTAGGTTTTTAAGAAAGGTAAATTTAAGGACACATATTCATCATTACATTTAGTTGCTAAGTAAGTCGTTTTTCACTGTTATGGTACAAAAATAATGATATCATTTAAGGTCTTTGATATCATCTATCTTTCATTGTTCATTTAATATCATTTAAAAGTATAAGACATTTTATAATAGATAAAACACGACTTATGGATTATTTATATGAAATCCTCGTCATGTAGCATTAAAATAACATTATCTTGTACAAATATGAACTAATGAAGCATAAGGATAACGAACATTATTCAGTTTTTGTTGTTAACAGCAGTACAGTTTTGAATGCTGACTATTGGTCAATTCATAAAGTTGTTCCACATTTTCATTTTATAATAGGAGCTTTATTGTCATTAGGGTTCTTGTTAAATTGATTAATATTTTATGAAGTGAATTAATCGACAAACATCCGAATGACATTTACACAAAATATAGATTACTTTACCAATCTAATTAGAATTGTTAATATTTTCAATTACATTTAGTGATACATTTTCATAGCAAAAGGACAATATCTGGCTTTTAAAATGTCTACTTGAATGTTTCACATTGTGTTTAAGTTCCCTCCTCTGAAAAATATGATTGTAGTGTATAAATTTATTAAGACAGTGGTATAATTTATTAGTTAAGTTCATGAGTCAAATAAACCTAGACTAACATGAAAAAACCGGAAGAACTGCACAGCCATTTCGTCTTAGTATGGGACTCCTTAGCAGTGCACATCCACAATCCCTTAAGTTGGACACAAATTCAGGACCTTCGGTCTCGCACGCAAACACTTAACCTTTAAAGCACGGAAGCTGGCATCCAACGGTATCATTTGTTGGGGTATTCAGAAAATACCCCAGAAATTATCTAATGCTATTCCTGAATGAGAAGTAGTGTCATTTCCCCACTGGTCAACATTTTTCCAACGTGTCATCTTCTTATTGGTCAATATTTATTTGTGTCATTTCCTGAAGGTTAAATCTTGTACAAATGTTACTTTCTATTTTATGGTACGATGTAGTCTGTTTGTTTGGTATATAAACAGTGTATGTATTTTATGCGTCACTGTTTCGATCGATAATAGGCTGCTCTCCTATAGGCGGATCACACGTTATAACATCATTATCTAACTTCAAGCAATTCACAGTGGTGTAATTAAAATAAGTACCTATGTAAATTGTAATTCTATTGAGTTTTTACCCTATCATTACTTTCTGGCTTAAATAAATTCTGAAAAAACAATACAGTAATACTAATTTAAATCCGTTATTTATCTCTTGATATTAAGAAAGCAAACATTGTTTCATAAACATTCTAATGACCTATGATATTCTATTCGATCTGGCATCTGTCTGAAACTCTGACATATTATAAATGTAGTTCAAAATAAACAAATTAACTTAGCAGTGGTATTTTGTGATTAAAATAAAGAAACCTGACACTACCCTAAATTAAACATACATATTGCTTTAGCTTATTAGAAAAGTTTCTACCATTACTTATTCATATCATTTATCACTATGAAAGATATTGTCAATTAGTTTCTAAGCGAGAAATGAAAAACTATTTCGTCAACTAATTTTATTTAATCATTGTACAGAATGTACTTAATGAACAATTACATATTGAATAGTTGAATTAATGAGTCAATCAAAGCTAGACCACCATTGAAAGCTTGAAAGCGCTGGACAACCGTTTCGTCCTAGTATGGAACTCCTCAGCAATGTGCATCCACGATCCCACCTCGCAAGATTCGAACCCAGGACCTATCCGTCTCTTGCGCGAACGTTTAATCTGTAGACCACTGAGCTAGCCATTATCCAGCAGTGTTAATGTTTAACTTCAACCAATTCACGAAATTGAGCGACATCTACCATTGTCTTCAGTGAGTTACCATCTCACAACAAACCTAGGTGAACTCCACTGGTCACTGCTTCTCACTAGTTCACCGGGAAATACCTCTTGAAGCCAATCACTAGTGACTCGAAGGTGCGCACTGTTGAGGAGTCCCGTATTAAAACAAAATGGTCGTCTAGTACTTCCAAGTTTTCCATGATAGTCTAGCTTTAATTGATTCATCAATTTAACTATTAAATGACTACAATCTCCACAAGAAACTCTTTCTGATAATTATATATTTGAAATGTATACCATATTCTGTTTTGTGAACTATCATAAACCAACATACCATTCATATTAGAGTATCTATTGAATCACAATCTTAAATGAAACTTTAAAAATAAATCATACTTCTGAACTAGCCCAAAAATACCACAACATGTTAGATGTTTTACTTAGAATACTGAGTGTTAAGATACTTTTAATGAAAAATTTTTGAATTAAAATTAGCAAACAAATTTTAACAAAACTTATAAATCCCTGAACAAAAAAAAAAGGTTTTCATTTTAGAATTCCTAACACATTGTATTATTATAAGTTATTCTATACTGATCACATAACTAATATGGAGTAGGAATAATGTATTATCATAGGTTTCTTATTTGACTTTTATAATTTTTACCAAATTGTACATTTTATTACCCTTGATATATGGATATTCTTTCATGCATAATTAACATGGCTAATTATATAAATATTTGAATAACATATGACATAAACATAAGTTTAATTCATATATTTATATATGTAATTGAAGGTAATAAGACATATAGCTGTTATTGTAAACAATACTGAAATGTGGCTTTATGTTTCCTAAGCTAACTTTATTTATTACACTATAATAAAAAATAATTATCTTAGTATAAAATCACATTTTATTATTAAAAATTCTAATGCACTGATTTCTAATTAGTATCAGAAGGGGTTTTTGTGGGTATTATGGTAATTTCATCGGTTGAGATCATGAGTCATTTGAAGTTAAATAACCATGGAAAACCTGAAAGGGCTGGATGTCCGTTTCGTCTTAGTGTGAGACTCCTCTGTAATTCGCATCTACGATTCTGCCTATCAAGGTTGGAACTCAGGATCTATCGGTCTGACGCGCGAACGCTTAACCATTAGATCATTGAGCCGGTTGGCATCTAACGGTGTTAATGTTTGACCTTGATCAATCCATGAAGTTGAGCAACACATTCACCTCTGTCTTCAGTGAGTTATTATCTCACAACCGACCTGGTGAACTCCACGAAAATCGCACAGTAGGACGAAATAGCTTTCCAGTGCTTCCAGGTATTCCATGGTAGTCTAGCTTCAAAGGACTCACGTTTTCTAATTATTTTTATGACTCTCTCAAAAAAATTAACCAATCAATATAGATTATATAATTTATCAAGAGAATTTTATTTTATCATATTTGCTTAGTTTTCAAATTGGTTTACATTAACATAGATTATTAAATCGTGCGTTTTACACTTGTTTACTTTAAAACTGCCTACTAATTTGAAAGAAAAACGTAACTAGATTGGATTCACTTGGTATTGTTTACTTGAATCTTCCCATTGATGTTTAGGACTGCAACTGATCAGTCTCTTCTTGGCATATGTACGTACTAGATTAAGCTGATTAGAAAATGTATAGTGTATTAAGAATGATGAAAGATACTACAATGTGTTAATAAGTTTAATAATCTTATTAACTAGAAATAGGATAAGATAGAAATTTAAAAACTTACACAAACACATGATATATTACAGAGGGCCATGTTTTCGGTCTTTCAAGAAAATTATAAATTTTAGCTTGCAACTTGCGATATCTGGTTTCATTACGACTTATACGTATTGTTATTGTTTTACCATGAAGTGATGTTCTTCTTTGTGTACATTCCTGAGGTGGAGGAGCAAGAAAGTGTTTAAATTCCGTTGACGTATTATGTGGCAGTTTTTTGTAATCACAATTATTATTATTATATACATCAATATAGTTTGATTGACTGCATACTTCCAGATCCGTGTCACAATGATATGGATAATGCCCTGTATTTGTATTGCTAGATTCCCATGGTTTATTGTATGAATCATTCGTTACGCTCTCATCGACTGTACTACTACATCCACCAGGATCAATGTTGTAAACTGGATGATTTTTCATTTCTACATCAATTGGTTCATCAACTCTTACTTCAAAGATATTCTTTCGATATTTTCGATCTTTACGACTATAATGATTACATGTGTCCATAAAAACTGGTGAACTGAATCTTGTACTCATAATGTTTTGTTTCTTAATTCATTTTATCGTTAACAAAATTCATTAGATTTTATATGAGGTAATCCATATATTTACTGAGGTAATCCATAATTTTATGAAAGGGAACACAAAGTTAATAAAAAATGATAAAGTTAGATTTGTTTTTTTTTGTTTTTTTATTCTTAATTTTTTTTAATTTTTTCATCAGAATATCAAGTTTTATCTAATAGAAAACATTTTTATTATAGTTTTATTAAAATTATGTAAATAATAGTATCATGAAAATTTTAAAGGGAGAATACATAAACATAATTCCTGAAAAAATGATTGGTTATTTGAAACAACCAATTAAAATATAGTTTTAATAATGTTTTGATTGGATAAGTTTCGATATTTTCTTTATAATTCCCATTCATAAATTGAATGATTATAATGATAACTGATTCTAATATGAATGTTCATTTAATGTAATCTAATGTCAAATATAACTCCGCCTGGAGTCCCTCCGGGGGCTACTGCTGGTCCTAAGCCCGGATAGAGGAGGAGGGTTAAGCATGGGGTTAGCGACCCCATCCCTTAGAAAACTAACTCGCTAAAAAAACGCTAACCAGAAAAAAACGCTAACACAATGTCAAATATAAAAATATTACATTAAAAGTTAAAAATGTTTTTTTTAAATTTATGAATGCTTGCTCTGTTAGTCCATCACCCTGATGACCGTTATTATATAATTCTCAACAGTTTGAATTCAGAAGTCAATAAGTATTGGCAACTACACTGTATTAGTGAATAACACAAATAACAAAGTTGCAAGCATATCAAGTGAATTAGAGCAAAGAATCTAATGTGGAAGTGAGTAAATACAGAGGTAAATTTTTAGTCAAATCGAATCAGGGTGCAGCTAGGTATGACAAAGCAAAAGTTATTAATAGAATTCGAGCACATATATACATTAGTAAAGAGAGTGAATCATCGAGCAATATTTAACCTAGAGAGATATATGCATAGGCTGTTACATGTGATCAAGTATATATATTCATACAGACATGATAGTGATCATAATAGCACAAAGAAATGTGCGAATTGTTACTGTTCAAATAACGTAGTCTGTTAAATAAGTTAACAAAAAAAATTTAACAAAGTTTAACTATGATCAAAATTCATTGTAGGAGGGTTTCTATAGTGTATATTGAGTACTGTTTCTTTTGTATTATTTAAACTTGTGTTAGTTCTATATCGTTTATTTATTTACTCTGAAGAAGCGGCTTACATTAAGTCACGAAATGTCAGAAATACAATTATCTATTAATTCTTTTTGTTTATAATAATGTTTGGGAATGAAAGTGAACAGACACCGAACATTATTGAAAGATAATTCAGTGTTTGAAAGTGGTGTTAAATGATGAAAGAAGAAAAAAGTAAACTAAAGGATTTCATAACATATTAAGACAATTAAAAAAATATATTCATTCAAAATGTAGTGATTCAATTGAAGGATGATCAAAGAAGCAAAATTATTTAACGATCTAAATAGTTTATAACTTTTAACCTTTTCAATAATTCATTATTATTATAACAAATCACTTTTGAGTTGAATATATTAATAATGATAAGAAGATTGAAACCATCTTTCAGAGAGTAATTTATGAGATGCAGTATTCAAGCACGATTATCATATCAATGACTGATATACAATAGTATTTAAATAATCATCTTGTGCGGCTGAAACGCGTGTCCTGGATTCCACTGCTAGCAACTATCCATCTTAGTTTATAATGCTTGTACTTTAAGGTAGTATCGAGGCAATCTGCACAGGAATCATGTATACTGATAAGAGACTGATCGGTTGCAGTCCTAAACATTAATGAAATAATCCAAACAACCAAGTATATTTTTGTCTCATGATCAATATAAGACATGACCATACTAAAATAAATTTTTTCAAAGGTTATGATACTACGTCAGAATTTCGGTGGTTTCATTATTAGAACTAGATATAATAGAATTTTTTTAACTACCTTGCCTCTGGAAACCTAAGAAGAGATCTTATGAATCATGTAAATAATAAAATTCGCAAATATGTATATCTTGAGAAACAATTATTATTTCTCTGTTTTTCACCATTATTTTCTGTTTTTCTAGAAAAGATTACCAGCATTTGGTTACAAAGCTCTTCAATTGTCATACCATATGACAGATTGATGTCAGTAATCATGTTATCACTAACTAAAGATTGTTTCCAGTGAATTTTAAAATGATTTTACGGTAATATTAACATAGATAGTTTTTAGATGTACACTTCTGAAAAACACAGTGAAATTCGATGAGTAATTGGATTATTCTTTATCGCTTACTTAGAAGGAAAGCTATTGATTTTAATACATTTCTCTCTTGCCAAAACAAAAGTTTTACCGAAAAAACCTTACATAAATAAAAACTTTATTTATACAAAGTTTTTAATAACAATTTAGATGATAATTTAATGATGATTCGGGTTTATTCAGTGTTTTTTGTCATTGAGATCAAACACTCAAAGGACTAAACATGATTTGAATAAAACTGTAATGAAATTATGAATACATCCATAAATATTAGTGTTTTTCCTGAGTCGTCGAATTTAATTAATTTCACAAAATAAACGATTGAGTTCAGTAATAGATAATAAACAGAATTCAATCATCTGACTTTCAACTAAACTTACATATTTAACATTGTACAATATAAATATTGACTTATTATATAAATTGGATTGTTTTGTATACTCAAAATTATCGTACTATGTTAATCATATGGAAATTAACTAATAATCTAAAAAATAAATCCACAAAACAACTTCCCTTCTATGTTTTGTTTTACTTTTAAGCCCTGAGAATGTCAAGAATCAAATAACAATTTATTATTAACAGAAATGACAAAATATTTCAAGTACATTAAAAGATAAAATATAAACCACTGAATTCTGTGTTTCTGTTTGTGTTGTTATCATGGCGTATACTGATGAAACACTTACTTAGTACCATATGGATTTTTTATTGATTTACAAGTTTGACCTTGATAGAAAGCAAAAATAATTAATAAAAATTAGAAACAAATCATTTCTAACCAACTGAATATCACAATAAATGTATCAGACAGCTTGAACTATGAAAGGTCAAACTTATATAAATATGTATATATATATATATATATATATATATATATATATATATATATATATATATATCAAATGAGAAATATATATGAACTTATCACATTTCACTGATAAACATTTTCAATTGGTCATTGAAACAGAAAGGTAGAAACGTAGTCCGAATCACCAACCATACACACTCATATTTACATAGAATCAAATAATCACAGAAAGGTTTCTGTGGATATTATGTTTAATAGTTGAATACATGAATCAAGTGAAGCTAGACAACCATGAAAAACCTGGAAGCACTGGACAGCCGTTTTGTCTTAGTATGAAACTCCCTAGTAGTGCGCATCCACGACACCGCCTCACAAGATTCGAACTCAGGACCTATCAGTCTCGCGCACATGTGCCTAACCATTAGACCATTGAACCGGCCGGCATTCAATGGTGTTAATGCTCAACATTGAACAATCCACAAAATTGAACGACACATACACCATCGTCTTCAGTGAATTACTATCCAATAACAGACTCATACTAGTCCCATAATTGGACCAAACGGCCATTCAGGGCTCCCAGGTTTTCCATGATGGTCTGGAATCGAATAAGTTAGAAATTTGACAGATTTGAGTGAATTGTGAAATATCTTATTTTGATTGCAAGAAAGGAATACATAAGTTTCAATGTTTTCTTCGAGTCAACTTAGTAAATTCATACACATAGTTCCCTTTATCATTTTGAAAAGAGCTAGAACAAAGATTTTAGCAGAATAGCATGAATTCATTTTATTTCGTAGGTTCTCATCAGCTGCTTACAACCTGTTATATTTATAAATCATAATAAGACAATGAGTTTAAATGACTTACATGAGAGGATTTTGTTAGAAGTTATATAGAAGACATATTCGTATAGTGTAGCAAGGGTGTAAATGAAATTAATATACTGAATATTGTAAATATATACCTAATGTGAAAGAATATTCTACATCATTAATTGTGACGACAGTTCAAAAAGGGGTTAGAAACAATTGATTACATAATGAGTAAAAAAAAAAATAAAAATTTTGATAGGAATATAGTGAGTAGAGTTCAGTTAAAAGATTATTAATTTGAAACGTAGTTGAAGAAATAAAATAATGAAAATCAATGATGTAATAAGTACAAAAATAATAATAATTTATGGTGCAGAGAAGGAATATTTGTCACCAAGGCAAAGAAAGATTAACAACCATCTCCTTTTGAACACATAGGTCAGGTTTTTGACGCCTGATGGCAACGGCTTCAGCAAACTTCAGAAGACTGGAGTTTGGCTGCTTACTAATCACCTTGAAGGATTGTAAGGTATCTACCTGATGTCCTGTATCAAGGAGATGTTTGGTGATTGCACTATTCAGAGTCCTTCTTTCCCTTGTTCTAAGACTTTTTGGAACATGTTCAAAAAATCTAAGGTATGCTCTCCTTTCTGTTCTGCCAATGTAGCTGCTTTGGCAGGTACACGTAAATTTATAAATACAGTTGGCGGTAACATGAAAGGGTTGCTTGTCGACCTTTGATTGAGTTATTGAACATGTTGTTTTATAGAAAATTAAAAGTTTAGCAGCCGGATAAGTTCTGGCAAGCGCAATATTCAGTCTCCTACTGATTATTTGTGCGACGTTATCACCTTTAAAGTTAAGATTTATAGATACTGTCTTTTTATTGACCGTAGTTATTTCCGTCTTGTTTTCTTTGGGCTTTTTATATTTGTCAATAAACTTTTGTGGATAGAAGTTGTTTCTTAGACATTCTTCTAGGTTCATTAATTCTTCTTCAAGTTTGTCGGTGGTACATATCTTTTCTACCCTGTCAAATAGTGTTTTAACCAGTGCCTTCTTGTAACTAATTGG